TTTTTTTTTTGGTTTTTACGTTTTTTTGCTGTTTTTGGCTTTTTTTGAATTTGCGGTTTTGATTTTCTTTTGACTCAACTGTTTGCATTATTATTTTGACCATTTCTTCAGGGCATCGTCGATATGGCCAAAGAAGCTGCGAAGTTGACTGATAAGCGAGAGAAGTTGCTGGTACAACTGCAAAAATTAAACGACACAATGTCCAGTCCAGCGTATGATAAAGTCCCCTTAGGAGTGCGGAATAACAATGCTGAAAAAGTAAATCAACTTGAATTTGTTTATTAATTTTTGGAGAAAGAAATGCAGTAGAGCGAAGAATACACATTTAAAGTTAGGTATTTATCATTAGCCGTATCTGTAGTATCAAAATGTCCTGAGGTATTTTTTAATTACTGATTTAACTACTTAATATTCACCTACGCTATTATTACTTTCCACTATAACTGGCTAATTGGAGTATTAAATTATCATATAAAATCTTAATATAGCAATCAAACGCAGTTCGGTTCGTAAACAGAAGAATGTAAATTTTTTACTTTATTTTATAAATGTAAATTTTATTTTCTCTTCTGAAAATATGTAATTTTTTTTTCAGGTTTCTTCACTCAAAGCTGAGTTACAGCACCTCGAAAATGCGATAAATGCATTAAAAAGCTCGGAGTGTTAAGCATAATTTATTGTTACCCTGTCGTAGGTATCTTACCCCGTACGATTAATCTTGCTTTTCGTGGCGGAAGGATGTTTTGTGTTACCAGTGGTGCCTTCAATTGAAATGGTCCCATCCTCTTTTTTCTTACTGATAATCACTGCTTTGAATTAATTATCACCAGAATGATTCTGTTTTTATTTATCGTAGAATATGGTAACCTGTGGTATTATTAATTATTTCCATCAGTTTGCAGTGGTTTTCGATTGTTCTTGTTCAGTTAACATCGCGGGAATTACGTCGAGCTTAGTCTGTTATTTGTAATTTTTGTTGCATTGTAGTTGTTTTTTATTGTTGTCGTTGATAAAAAACGAACATTTCACAGGATGGTTTTTGTTTTTTCAAGAAATTTCAGTAGCAGCTTGAACACTGTACACGAACAAATATGTCTTGATATTTCGCTTTACTAATTAAGAATGATTGGGACAAATGCAGTCACGAGATCTGCTTCTTCGTGCCTCTTCTTTTTTGCCCAAGATTTAGGGATTTCGAACTTAGTGGCCCGTGTTCTTGAGGTCATGCGCAAGCCTGTCTTAGTTTTTAGTTGAGGTTTGTTTTATTTGCGAGGGCACTTTTCGATATTTTTGGAATAGCAATAAGTAGATAAAAATGTTTGTGAAAGAGACACGTATATAGAAATTGTGATATAGATAGGAAGAAATCGAAACTTTCCAGATAACCGTACGAGTAGGAAGAAATAAGTACGACCGCTAGTGGTTTTTTTGGCCCAGAACCGATCCCGTATCTGTCTCACAACTTTTTAGCCCATAATCGGTCCCTCATTGAGTTACAGATAAGATGGGCAATTTATAACAAGAAGGCAATTATCAGTAGTGGGAGTGGACTCAGTGGTTGAGGAGCAGGAATTTCGGAGGTGATGTATTACAAGAACGATTTTGCCACATAGGATCACGCTGATCCTAAGCTGATGAGCGTTCAAATGAATCAAATTTTGCAGGTTTTATACACCAATGAACTATTATTTTGTATAAAATGGCCGAAATTCAGTTATCCTGCTGTAGTAGCACGGCTACAACGGGTTGTGAAACAGCTGATCAGGTAAGCAGCATGGAAATGGAATCGAAATACGCCAATATAGTTGCCATGTTGTTCTCGAAATTCGTTCGACTCAGACCTGGATGCGACGGGGCAAAACTTATCAGCGAGGACGAATTCAAGCAAAGATTGCTGGATTTATCTGACAAGTTCAACACTTTAAGGGTTTATAATTTTTGCTTTTGTTTGCGATTTTTTTGAGAGAAAGAAGCAGGGCCGGGAAATTTTCAAACTCATCTCACTCACTT